GATTACTAAAAAAAATTGTAGTAACCATTGTCCAAGTTTTCTGTTCATCCTAACTTATTGTTTCCTTTTTAAATTTTTTTCGGCTACAGAGGTTACATATCATTTTAACATTTTCCAAAAGATTGGCTGAGGGTATACATCTGTCTGCAAAACCGACTGATGTTTTTTTAACTTGTATTTCATACATTTCCGTATTGGTTACAATATTTCCATCCATTTCTCACATTTTCCCCTAAGGGTTTATCAAAAACTCCCTCAAAAATGTTCTACATTTTTTTTTTTTCATTACCCATTAAAAATATGATTTTCCACATTTTAAAATGCGTTGACAAGCACTTTGAAATTATTTCTTTTTGATACCTTTTCCCAAAAAGAAAAAAAAACCAAAAAACTTACCCAGAACGACATCTGGGATTTACTACGCAAAACATTTTAGTTTAATATGCATGCGTTCCTCGCCCAACTCCTTACGCACTGTTTTCGATAAAGCTTTTATAATTTCCCGTCTGTTTCCTCTTTTGGGGGAATCCCCAAAAGTATACTTTAATTTTGCCAAAGTTTAGTTACGTTTGTTTTTTCTTCGTCGTCAGTAACATTCCATGTTTTCTAACAACCAATGTCTTGTAGGAGAACCGAACTTCTTTATTTACATTTAACACCAAATAAAAATTTTTCTCTGACACCACACCCCCTCCCCCTTTCCTCGCCTAAAAGTTTACTTTATAATTTAGTTTTGTTGGTTAAATCCAACCAACCACCGTACCCCACCATGATACACCAGGGTAAATATGTTGCTAACGATGAACTGTTCTGTTCCATCTGTCCTCCTCTTTGCAAAGTCATGTTTTATTTAGTTTGTCACCTTTTATTGCAATGGGATTTCTTTGTAATAGTTATGGGAAATCTATTTGAACTGTCGAGCAGAGCAGAGAGCAGAGCAACAACCACAAATGCTGCCCTGCAAAGATGTGATGTAGTGGTGTACCTAAAAAAAATGAATAAATACCGAGACGAAAGAAGAAATATATGCGACCTGACACTATTTTTAAAATCTACAAAATAAAATTCAATATTCACAGCTGAGGTAAAGAAGGAAATGTGTCAAAGGTAACCTACTATCATTCTTCCTATTATTATTATTGTTGTTGAATATCAAATGCTTCGGGGGACTGTTGCAGTGGGACATAAAACTTAAGGTTTGGTTAAATGGAAATTTAACCAAAAAAAGAAAAAAAAACGAAGGTAATGTAGTTAGAAGGCATATTGAATGGATTGAATTTTATGTGACCCCCTGAAAGTAGGCAATGGAATTTCGTAAAAAAAAAAAAACTGCGCCTAAAAGTATGCTGTAAATAATGCATATTATAGAAAAAAGCTTTAAAAATTTACAATTGTGACACAAATATTTTGGATGAAGGATAGGATAATAGCTCGGAGAAGGTCTCAGCAATAGTCTTGGTCTTGGAATTTTTTAAATTTTTTTATACCCTCCACCATACATAGTATGGAGGGTATATTAAGTTCGTCATTCCGTTTGTAACTCATCGAAATAATAAATTTAGACCCAACAAAGTATATATATTCTTGATCAGCGTGAAATTCTAAGACGATTTAGCCCTGTCCGTCGGACCGTTTGTTGTAAACACGCTAAAATCAAAACGAATTAAGATAGGAAGCTAAAATTTTGCACAGCTCAGTCTTTTGTGGCCAGGCAGGTCAAGTTCGAAGATGGGCTATATCGGTCCACGATATCGTATATCCCCCATATAAAGGTACCTCCCGATATTCGATATTTTGAGGATTTTCCCTTGTGAGCACCAAACCCACTTGAAGAGAATTGTCTATAAAGGTATACGTTATCGTTTATTCTCCATATAAAGATACCTCCCGATATTCGGTATGTTGATGGATGTTGCCAAATTTTTCAATGGAATTGTCCCTGTCCGTCCGTCCGTCTGTCTGTCTATTGTAATCATGCTACCGTCAAAACAAATTAAGATAGGAAGCTAATATTCTGCATAGATCTGTGTTTTCTCTGCTGGCGTGTCAAGTTCCGAGATGGACTATATCGGCCCACAATATCGTATATCCCCCATATAAAGGTACCTCCCGATGTTCGGTATTTTCTTGATTTTTGCCATCAATGGAATTGTCTGAGATTCCACGCAAGGAATTTCTTCTGAGTACTTTACCCCCTGGACGAGGATTGTCTACATAGGTCCACGATATCGTATATTCTCCATATGACGGTTCTTCCCGATATTCGGTATTTTAGTGATTTTAGCCATATTTTTGAATGGAATTGTCTCAAAGTCCACATCAGGAGTTTCTTCTGAGTACTATAGGTCCACAATATTGTATATCCCCCTTATAACGAAACCTCCCTTTCTTCGGTTTTTGATCAGCAGCATTATTCACCGGAGTTGTTTCAAATTTGATGATATTAGCGACATTAATCAACGGAATTGTTTCAAATTTCGTATTTAAAGTTCGAAATCGGTACTACAGCCTATGACAAAAAAATTATGCAGGTCCACGTCTTCGTATAGCCTCCATATAACGACTTTCATATAAGTGGACCTTTTCGACGGATTTTTTCTGAACATTTTCAATATCATAACCATTAAATTAAATATCATAACCAAGAAATTAAATTTTTAAAGTTCAGAATCGGTACTACAGCCTATGACAAAAAATTATGCAGGTCCACGTCTTCGTAGCCTCTATGTAACGGCTTTCGTTTAAGTGGCATTTTTTCAGAATATTTTCAATATCATAACCATATTCAAATGGTGGAGAGTACTAAAAGTTCGGGCAGGCCGAAATTAAATTCTTAAAGTTCAGAATCGGTACTACAGCCTATGACAAAAAATTATGCAGGTCCACGACTCCGTAGCCTCCATATAAGGGCTTTCATTTAAGTGGTATTTTTCGACGGATTTTTTCTGAATATTCTCAATATAATAACTACATTCATATGGTAGAGGGTATTAATAGTTCGGGCCGGAATAGATTAAATTCTTAAATTTCAGAATCGGTACTAGAGGCTATGACAAAAAATTATGCAGGTCAACGTCTTCGTAGCCTCCATATAAGGGCTTTCATTTAAGTGGAGTTTTTTGACGGATTTTTTCTGAATATTTTCAATATCGTAGCCATATTCAAATGGTAGAGGGTATTAAAAGTTCGGGCCAGCCGAAATTAAATTCTTAAAGTTCAGAATCGGTACTACAGCCTATGACAAAAAAAATTATGCAGGTCCACGTCTTTGTAGCCTCCATATAAGTGGTATTTTTCGACGGATTTTTTCTGAACATTTTCAATATCATAACCATTAAATTAAATATCATAACCAAGAAATTAAATTTTTAAAGTTCAGAATCGGTACTACAGCCTATGACAAAAATTATGCAGGCCCACGTCTTCGTAGCCTCCATATAAGGGCTTCATTTAAGTGGAGTTTTCTGATGGATTTTTTTTTTTTTTTGAAATATTCCAATGTCCTTCAAAATGGTGGAGGATATTAAAAGTTCGGTCCGGCCGAACTTAGCTGCTTTTTGGAATCTTTGGGAGTCTCTGGTTTAAAAAATCTGTGAGATCTTCTTTTCAAGAGGAAATCAATCACTCCAAAACATTATTATATAAATTATTGCAAAATATTATTTATTCTTAGATTTTGCCTTAAAGTATACATTATTTTTCCCAACCCTTGGAAAAAAGTTAGGAAAACTAAAGTATACTTTAGGCAAAATTTAGCAAAAATGAATATTTTGCAATAATAGTGACTGCTATTTTTTTATTCTATTTTTAAAAATATTATCAACGATTTTAAATTTTTTCTTTAACCAGAGATTCCACCAAAAAATAAAATAAAGTAAATAAATAATTAAAAATTCAAGATCTCCAAGGATATGTTATTACTGAAAATAGAAGAGAAAATAATTTAAGAAAGTATTACCCCAGTCCTCAATTTGGCTAAATTAAGCCTAAATTCATAATTTATAAATTTATTTTTTTCTGTCCCCCAAAAGTATGCTTTAGAATTCATAAAACCTATTTCATTAGCAAATATGAACCGTTTTAGTGTAATTAATATTCCTTTTCTTAAAAGCTACATATAAGTAAGTCACTATTCCGATCTCCAAGTTGTATTTGTTGAGCCTGAAATCAGAAAAAATCATGAGCCTGTTCGATTTTCATCCTAAAAGTATGCTTTAAAGTTTATAAAATCGATTTTATCAGCAATTATGAATGGTATTAGTGCCACAAAATCTTTTTTCCGCAAAAAGAAAATAAAAAAACTTCCCCAAATTCCATTTCCGTTTTCCATGAGTTGCACTCCCTCTCCTAACTAGCTTTCGATGTTGGTTGCCTTCTAATTTTAGTATTACAACACAGTTTGCTTTCAATATTAATTTGTTTGCTTGTGCTTGAGCATTTATTTCCATTTAAGGCCCAAGATCAAATCGTACAATCTCTGCCAAACAGCATTTTTTTTTTCTTTTGCGACCTCGCTGCTTGAAAAGTTCCTCAGAAACTTTTCCCCATAACTAACTTCACTATGGCATTGGGCGGAAATAATTTATTTGCTCAAACCCAAATTTATGGTCAAATGAACTTGAAATCAGTGAAAGGATAAAGGACAAATGCGACTAAGGATTTTAGGAATTGAATGCTGGAAACCATCATAAAAAAGTTTCGAAAGCTCAAGATGAATTAGGCATAACAAATTGTGCGAAATACCAACAGCGAATGGATTAATTGGTCGGTGGTTATGGTGAATGGTTTTCAAAAAAAGGGAATGGATTGACGGGGAAGGGAGGGGGTTGTAAAAACGAGAAAATAAAATATAAAGGACCTTTAAAAAGTATTCTAAGATTTTAGTGCCTACTTTTGGTCTTAAGAAAATAACTTAGCATATTTTTAGGACCTTAACATATTCCTATCCCGTTAGTATCTAAATAAGTTAGAAGTTACAAAATCCTTTTCCCAAAACTTACCTCTTCTTCATTGCTTGCAGTATTAACGGAATCCATGCTTTGTGATAATCCCAATGGTGCCAGTGCCATTTGATTTTCCATTGTTGTTGTTGTTGACGTAGTACTTGACGATGTGTTGTTGCTGTTGGTAGTGTTGCTGCCGGTGTTATTTGCGTTCACAGTTGTCGTCGAGCTTGTGGTGTTCTCACACGCCAATGAAGTGGCAGCGGCCGTGGAGACGGCTGCGGGTGTGGGTGTGGTGGTGCTCGATGAAGATGCCGATGTATTGGAGTCGTTGGAATGTAATGAAGTATTGACAGTTAAGGCTGTGTTGGCTGCCGAGGTATAGACTAAGTTGTTGTTGTTGTTGCTGTTGGGTGATGTACAGGCTGAGGAGGAGGAGGTGTTGGTGGAGCTGGTAACTGTTTGGTGTTGTTGGTTTGTGTTGTTGTGGTTAGGTGTTGTCACCGCAATTAGTTGTTGTTGTTGCTGTTGATGATGATTATTGCTGCTGTTGTTGTTGGTGTTCGAGTGATGATTGTGTTGTTGTTGCTGATGATGATTGTTGTAGTGTCTCAATTGTTGTTGCTGCTGTTGATGTTGTTGTTGTTGCTGTTGGTAAATACTCTGCTGATGATGTTGCAATACCAAATGTTGCTGATGCGCAGCAGCAGCTGCAGCCGCGGCAGCTGCAGCGGCCTGTTGTTGTTGCTGCTGTTGTGTGGACAACGAGTGTGTGGCAGCCCCCTGACCAAATTGCTGATGATGATTCAATAGGGCAGCGGCAGCAGCTGAATTCTGGATGTGCTGGTGGGCAGCAACGGCAGCGTTCAAATTACGTTGATGGGCAGCGGCCGCAGCTGCTGCAGCAGCCACTTGCTGTTGGGCGGTGTGATGTGAGTGGGTGTGAGCGTTGATGGCAGCTGTGGCAGCCAATTGTGCAGCGGCAGCCGAATTGTAGGCCAACTGGTGATGGTGATTGGCTTTCAGGGCAACGGCAGCGGTGGCTGGTGCAGTGGCGTATTGCAGTTGGGGTGCTAATTGGGCGGCGGCGGCGGCGGCAGCAGCAACGACTTGATTACCGACGGCGTTATTGGCTGGTATTACCGAAACGGCTGCGGCACACTGTCGTTTGGGTGACAACACCTGTGGGGCACTCGCTGGCGTTTGCGGCAGCGTTGGCCTGCGTTTAATCGCAATCGACGAAATGGTGATGGCTTTTTCGTACACGTTTGTCTGGGGGGGAGTGATTTTGGGGCTGTTGTAGAGACACGTTTAAAGAAAGGTTCCTCCTCAGTGCGGCTGCTGCTGGGGTACGGATTGGGTGCGGGAAGCGTTTCTTTAAATGGTGTAATCTACACGCACGCAGACAGACACGCACACACAAATGTGGGAGAGCGGTTTGCGAGAGCCAATTTGATTATTTTTTCAATATTTTATTGGGTTTTGAAATATTTTCTGGAACCTTCGGATGCTTTCGTGTTCTGAAATTGGTTTCTGCTTTTTTTTTCAAAGATCGTAGATTTTCCGAAGGATGTGTTGCTGTTATTTATTGAACTTGGACCTAAAATGAAAGAAAAAATAATTTTGATTAGAATTAAATTTTGAAAAAAAAAAACAAATTTTGAAATAAAAAATTTGGAAATAAAATTTTGACATTTTGAAACATTTAAAATATTTTCTTAGAAATTTAAAAAAAAAAGCTAAGATCTGTAAGTTTCACTTGGCTCTATAAGAGATGACCTCCAGGTCATCTATAAATTACGACCTCCAGGTCATCTATAAATGACGACCTCCAGGTCATCTATAAGAGACGACCTTCAGCTCATCTATAAGAGACGACCTCCAGGTCATCTATAAATGACGACCTCCAGATCATCTATAAGAGACGACCTCCAGGTCATCTATAAATGACGACCTCCAGATCATCTATAAGAGACGACCCCCAGATCATCTATAAATGACGACCTCCTGGTCATCTATAAACGACGACCTCCAGGTCATCTATAAATGACGACCTCCAGGTCATCTATAAATGACGACCTCCTGGTCATCTATAAAAGACGACATCCAGGTCATCTATAAATGACGACCTCCTGGTCATCTATAAATGATGACCTCCAGGTCATCTATAAGAGATGACCTCCAGGTCATCTATAAGAGATGACCTCCAGGTCATCTATAAGAGATGACATCCAGGTCATCTATAAGAGATGTCCTCCAGGTCATCTATAAGAGATGACCTCCAGGTCATCTATAAGAGACGATCTCCAGATCTTCTATAAATGACGACCTCCATATCATCTATAAGAGATGACCTCCAGGTCATCTATAAGAGATGACCTCAAGGTCATCTATAAGAGATGACCTCCAGGTCATCTATAAGAGATGACCTTCAGGTCATCTATAAGAGATGACCTCCAGGTCATCTATAAGAGATGACCTCCAGGTCATCTATAAGAGATGACCTCCAGGTCATCTATAAGAAATGACCTCCAGCTCGTCTATAAGAGATGACCTCCAGGTCATCTATAAGAAATGACCTCCAGCTCGTCTATAAGAGACGACCTCCAGGTAATCTATAAGAGACGAACTCCAGCTCATGTATAAGAGATGACCTCCAGCTCATCTATAAGAGACGACCTCCAGCTCATCTATAAGAGACGACCTCCAGGTCATCTATAAGAGACGACCTCCAGGTCATCTATAAGAGATGACCTCCAGGTCATCTATAAGAGACGACCTCCAGGTCATCTATAAGAGACGACCTCCTCCAGCTGATCTATAAGAGACGACCTCTTCCAGCTCATCTATAACAGACGACCTACTGCAGCTCGTCAATGAGAGACGACCTCCTCCAGCTCGTCGTCTATAAGAGACGACCTCCTCCAGCTCGTCGTCTATAAGAGACGACCTCCTCCTGCTCGTCGTCTATAAGGGACGACCTCCTCCAGCTCGTCGTCTATAAGAGACGACCTCCTCCACCTCGTCTATAAGAGACGACCTCCTCCACCTCGTTTATATGAGACGACCTCTTCCAGCTCGTCGTCTATGAGAGATGACCTTTTCCAGCTCGTCGTCTATAAAAGTCGACCTCTTCCAGATCGTCGTCAATAAGAGACGACCTACTCCGACTCGTCTGTAAGATATGACCTCCTCCAGCTCGTCTATAGAAGACGACCTTCTAAAGCTCGTGTATAAGATACGACACCCTCCCCTCGTCTATAAGAGACGTCCTCCTCCAGCTCATCTATGAGAGACGACACCTTCCAGTATGTCTATAAGAGACAACCTTCAGCTCGTCTATAAGAGACCAGCCTACTTCAGCTCATCATATATTCATCTTCATTTCTTCCTCACTAAATTTTCTTAATTTAAATTTTTGAAAACTATTAAGCAAATTATTTCTGTCGGCCGAACTGAGGGTTAATCACGCCATAGGCGATCACGCAAAAAGAAAACTACACAACAAAACAATGCTTCATGACAAGGAATATTGTACAGATTTCCTTTTCACCTCTGAACCCTCAAAAAACATTGGTAAAAGTTTAAAAGGCTTTCAAAAATTTCCAAAACAAGATACCTTAAAAAACCTGGCCAATTTCTCAAATCCGAAAACAAAATGGAATGATTCAACAAAATATTTCAAAATCATCTCACCATGAAAACGATGGGTTTCAGTTACAATTCTCTTAAATACTATTCAAACTTGCACTATTTGTTAGCCCGAAAAAAAATATTGAGGCTAGAATCGCCTCATTAATTATCCATACAAAATGAAAATGTGAAAGTATTTGGAATAAAAAGAGATCAAAGTGAATGTAAGATTGTTTTGTTACAGTCACTCAATTGAAGTTCGGAACCCAGCTGGTAATAATTTACGTCTTTCATTTTTGTTTATCCCTCCCCTCCCTTCTGTTATGAAAGTGCCGATGAACAATACAAATAATCAACTTATTCAGCAAAAATTGAACTTTGCCATTTTTTGTGGTTGTTGTTGTTGCTGTACAACAATGTGTTCAAATGCAATCAACATTATATGGCAAATTTGCCACATACACACACACATACACTCAGTCAACTGGGTAATATGATGAGGCACGTACAAGCCGGGCAAGTGGCAGAGTTATTATGACAAGAGGCCAAGAAAAATGGGGCAGGAAATTTATATGGAGTTGCTCAAACACAAAACTATGGGAAAGAATGGCAGAAAGAAGCAATGGGGGACGCGGAAGAAATCCGACTGGAGCAAGCCATACAATACGACAAAAGGGAGCCCTATAATTTTCAAATACACTGCAGTATGTTCACCCATTTTAATATAGATTGGAATTAATACATATGAGATGAGGCAATGTTCAGGTGTACCTCCATATAACATTTACCAACTAACCAAGTTTGTCATCTTTACTTTACTCTGGCTCGCCTTTGGCTTAGTCATTGTAATATTTTATTCAAAGTATTTATGCATGCCCACATGTACTTAGCATATCTGCCATATTTCGATGAATGTCCTTCGCAGATGCTGATCAAAACTCAATCAATGCTTCGTCATCAGAAATATTTTCCAAATGATTTCGAGAAAATTTATGCCAGAAAAGGAAAACTCAGCGAGGGGAACAGTGGGACCAAAATGGAATATGGAATGGAAAATGTGTATAGAAGAGCTTGAGTTCTCTTCTTGGCTATAGAAGAGCTCGAGTTCTCTATAGCCGATAGAAGACCATAAGCTCTTCTATCGACTATAAAAGATCTTGAGGTCTTCTATTGGCCATTGAAAAGCTTGAGGTCTTCTATTGGCCATTGAAGAGCTTGAGGTCTTTTTATGAGAGCTGAAGGTCTTCTCTTGTCCATAGAAGAGCTGGAGGTCTTCTATTGTCCATAGAAGAGCTGGACGTATTCTATTGTCCATAGAAGAGCTGGAGGTCTTCTATTGTCCACACAAGAGCTGGAGGTCTTCTATTGTCCACACAAGAGCTGGAGGTCTTCTATTGTCCATAGAAGAGCTGGAGGTCTTCTATTGGCTATAGAAGAGCTTGAGGTCTTCTATTGTCCATAGAAGAGCTGGAGGTCTTCTATTGGCTATAGAAGAGCTTGAGGCCTTCTATTGTCCATAGAAGAGCTAGAGCTCTTCTATTGTCCATAGAAGAGCTTGAGGTCTTCTACGGGCTATAGAAGAGCTGGAGCTCTTCTACGGGCTATAGAAGAGCTGGAGCTCTTCTACGAGCTATAGAAGAGCTGGAGCTTTTCTACAGGCTATAGAAGAGCTGGAGGTCTTCTATTGTCCATAGAAGAGCTGGAGGTCTTCTATTGTCCATAGAAGAGCTGGAGGTCTTCTACTGTAAATAGAAGAGCTGGAGGTCTTCTATTGTCCATAGAAGAGCTGGAGGTCTTCTATTGTCCATAGAAGAGTTGGAGGTCTTCTAGTGGCCATAGAAGAGTTGGAGGTCTTCTATTGGCCATAGAAGAGTTGGAGGTCTTCTATTGGCCATAGAAGAGTTGGAGGTCTTCTATTGGCCATAGAAGAGTTGGAGGTCTTCTATTGGCCATAGAAGAGTTGGAGGTCTTCTATTGGCCATAGAAAAGTTGGAGGTCTTCTATTGGCCATAGAAGAGTTGGAGCTCTTCTACCGGCTATAGAAGAGCTAGAGCCCTTCTACCGGCTATAGAAGAGCTGGAGCTCCTCCTACCGGCTATAGAAGAGCTGGAGCTCCTCTACCGGCTATAGAAGAGCTACAGCCCTTCTACCGGCTATAGAAGAGCTGGAGCTCCTCCTACCGGCTATAAAAGAGCTGTGGAGCTCTTCTACCGGCTATAGAAGAGCTGTGGAGCTCTTCTACCGGCTATAGAAGAGCTAGAGCCCTTCTACCGGCTATAGAAGAGCTAGAGCCCTTCTACCGGCTATAGAAGAGCTGGAGCTCCTCCTACCGGCTATAGAAGAGCTGGAGCTCCTCCTACCGGCTATAGAAGAGCTGGAGCTCATCCTACCGGCTATAGAAGAGCTGGAGCTCCTCCTACCGGCTATAGAAGAGCTAGAGCTCTTCTACCGGCTATAGAAGAGCTAGAGCTCTTCTACCGGCTATAGAAAAGCTAGAGCCCTTCTACCGGTTATAGAAGAGCTAGAGCCCTTCTACCGGCTATAGAAGAGCTAGAGCCCTTCTACCGGCTATAGAAGAGCTGGAGCTCCTCCTACCGGCTATAGAAGAGCTGGAACTCCTCTACCGGCTATAGAAGAGCTGGAGCTCTTCTACTGGCTGCAGAAGAGCGGGAGCTCTT